ACCAGTTCTCTGTACATCTGGTAGAATTCAGCCGTGAATCGATCTGGACCTGTGCTTTTTTTTAGTAGGGAGATTTTTTTTTTTAATCACTGATTCAGTCTCACTACTTGTTATTATTGGTCTAGCCAGGATTTATGTCCCTTTGTGGTTCAATCTTAGGAGGTTGTATGTTTCCAGTTCATAAGTGTCTTTAATAGTAAGGTGGGTTTCTTGTAGGCAGCATATCATTGTGCCATGCTTTTTTTTTAACCATTCCTTCAATCTATATCTCTTAAGTGAGGCATTTAATCCATTTATATTCAAGGTTATTATTGATATATATGAGGCTTTGTTCTTGCCATAATGTTAACTATTATCTAGTTGCTTTGTACCCTCATTTGTATAATTGTTTTGTAAGACTTGTATACTTTATACTCTAATGTATTTTAATAATGGTGAGTATTAACCTTTACTTTCCATGTTTAGAATAACCTTGAGTATTTTCTTTCAGGCTGGCCAGTCTAGTGGTGACTAATTCCCTCAGCATTTGCTTATTTTTGAAAGACTTTATATCTCCATCACTTATGAAGCTTATTCTAGCTAGATACAAAATTTGGTGTTGGCAGTTTTTTTCTTTAAGAATTATGAAATTGAGACCCCTGTTTCTTCTAGCTTGTACGGTTTCTACTCAGAAGTCCAATGTCATTCTGATGGGATTTCCTTTATAGGTGACTAGATGCTTTTCTCTCGCTGATTTTAGGATTTTTTGCTTCCTGTTGACTTTAGGGAGTTTAATGACTATGTGTCTTGATGAAGTCCTTCTTGCAGTATATTTCCATGAAGTTCTCTGAGCCTATTTTATCAAGATGTCTAAATCTCTGGAAGTCTAGGGAAGTTTTTTTTTTCTTTTTAAATATTTCCTCAAATAGATTTTTCAAACTTTTTGTTTTTTTCCCTCCTCTGGTAATACCTATGATTCATACATTTGGACATTTTACCTAATATTGTGCTTCTCAGAGGCTCTGTTCACTTTTTAATTCTTTTTTCTATACTTTTATCTGACTGGATTAATTCTAAAGCCCTGTCTTAAAGTTATGAGATTTTTTCTTCTGCTTGGTGTAGTCTATTGTTGAAGCTTTCAGTTGTATTTTGTAATTTCATCAATGAATTTTTCTCCAATAATTGTTTGAGATACATGTGTGTGTGGGTGGGTGGGTGGGTGTGTGTGTATACACATGCATGCATATATACACATCTTTAGTGATTTTTTTTCATTCATATCCTGAATTGGGCTCCTAATTCCCTTCTGTTGGTTTTCAGATTTCTCTTGGATCTCATTTTAAAATCAGTGTTATGAATTGTTTATCTGGCATTTCAAATGTTTCGACTTTGTTAGGATCCTTTGCTAGAGAACTGTAGTGATTCTTTAGAGGTGTCTTAACACTCTGTTTTTTCATACTTCCAGAATTGTTACGCTGATTCCTTCTCATCTGGAGAAACTATCCCTTATTATTATTTTTTAACTTACTTCCCTTTGGATGGGATTTTTTTTTCCCTTAAGGATGTGACAATAATGTATGTTATGTAGAGTCATTTGGCTTTGCTTATAGGTGCTATCAGTGGCAAAGACTCTATGAATTCCTTGGTTATAGATAGTTATAGCCTTAGTAAGGTGGCTTTCTTAAATGATGGATGTAGTAGCAACATATTGGGAGTATGAGCAGGCTTACAGCCTCCTGATGGGCCAGCGGAGAACTCAAGAAGCTTATCTCATTTCTAACCTCTGGGCATTTATGTTTGCAGATTTTGTATTGATTTGTGCAGTTCGACTCCAGGCCAGGATGACATTTGCAAGTAAGAGCCAGCTGTGGTAGCAGCAGTCAGGTTTATGCTATATCTTTGTTTACCAGTAGAGGCTCTCAGTTGCTACATGCAATGGGCTGGTCTGTGGAATGCACAGTTGCCTGAGCTCCTTGCATAGCCCTGAAGGGGGTGATGAAGCTAGGCAGAGCTGTGCTGGGCAAGCCCATCTTTGGGTCCCCCAGTGGCAAGCACAAGCACCAGCTGGACAAGGGTGGTGGAGGAGCTTCTGGTGAAATGGGCCCCAGTCACTGTGGGAATTTGGGGGCTGCCCTAGTACCACAGCCTCTGCAGGCAGGAATGCACTTCATTTCCTTGTCACACGCCCATCCCAGCACTCAGGAAGCTCAGTTTAGTTAGACACTGCTGTTGATCTCTAGGCTGCAAGGTAGCCAAGAGTTGTGAAAGATGCATGCCCCACAGATCACTGCCAAAATGTTTGTGCCGCAAAGCCTCTTCCCTCCCTGGATTTCCTGCTCTCTGCTGCAGGGACATTGCCACTCTGTGTAGAAATGGGGAAGGGTTCCACCTTTCATGCTAGCCTGTCTTAGTGACTATACTGCTAGTGGGGACTCAGTCGCCCCTAACATCCCCAGAAAGGCCATCCTTTGTTGCACCTGTGCTCACGTCCAGTGAAAGCAGCTACAGCTGTGTCTGCAGCAGTGGGGAGAAGAGATGGGGAAGACTAGGCTCTTTACACCTGGGCCCAAGCATCAAAGCAGCTCAGCCAGTGGAATGGAATTACAGTCCTCCCACACAGAGCCAAGCACAGCCTTTGTGTCTCTGCTGGAAGTGCCACTGCCACTCCCCACCCACAAGCAGGAGCCCTCAGACTGAGGAAAATATGTACTCTGCTTTCCTTTGTTTCCAGGGTGGTTCCCTTGGAGTGCTGCATTTTTCCTTTCCTTAGTAGCAGCACTCCCAGAGGTCTAGACTGCTGGAACTCTGTAACTTTCCCGGGAATAGCAATCCCTGCATGGCTGCCATCCTCCAAGTCGGCACTAGGGAATATCAGTGAGGGCTCCCATGATGTGAAAAAACAAGGACTGAGTCTCCCTAACACCTGCGACCTCAATATGGTGACCTGTCATCACCACTTAAGTCTGGGCAGAAGGCAAGTGACCCAGTGCAAGTTCAGAATCAAGTACAATGCCCTGCAGATGACCCCAAATTGCCGCCCACACCAGTGTTTGGTTTTGTAAGGGTAGAGGATCTCTCCAACAGTTCGTATGCTGGCAGTCTGCCACAGAATCAAGAGGAGTCAAAACACCCCTTCCTATCCTTTCTATGCAATACCAAGTCCCTTGGGGTTCCTACCTGATCTCTGCCAGCCTCTTGCTTGCTTCTTTTTCTGTGCCGTAGCTTCTTCCCCTGAGTTCTCGGCTATGCTCCAGCGCTCTTCCTTTGATATTCTCTTTAAGTTATGATTATTCACTTGTAACTTTTGTTCTTCTTTTTGAGGAGAACTGGCATCCAGCATTTCTAGTCAGCCATCTTGAATCCTAACCCCCTTGTTTCTTGATATTTTACATTTCTTTTTGCATTCAGTGAGACTACTCCTTAGGATTTGTTTCCAGTAACTGATAGCAGTATAGTAGCAATTACATACTGTGGTTGACCCTGTGTTTATCCAGGGATCAAAGGCTCATCATTCCTTACCCTCTCTTTCTTCCTCTCCCCAAGATACGTGATTCAGTGAGTTAGGATCTTTCTAGTGATTCCCACTTTTGACACCAACTGTAAAGAATTTTAGCCTACTGCACAAAATAGCTACGTACAAACTTGGAGTACTCCACAAGGCTTCTCTCACTTCTAACATCAGCTGTAAATTCAGGGGAGTCTGTTTTAGGACTCTTCATTTTTAATATTTCACTAGGATTCACAGAACTCCTGGAAAGCTGTTATACTCACAGTTATTGTTTGCTACAAGGAAAGAATACAGATTAATGTCACCCAGGGAACAAGTACATAGGGCAGAGTCTAAGAGAGGTACCAAACAAGGAACTTCTATTGTCCTCTCCTTTTGGAGTCATGGATGTGTTACCCTCCTGGCACTGATGTGTGACCATACACATGGAGTGTTGCCAGCTGGGGATGCTCACCTGACTGAGCCTTTGATGTCCAGAGCTTTTATTGGGACCCAATCACATACTGCCAGTGTGGCTAACCTTTAGTCTAGTCCTTTCTGGAGGTGAGGCTAATGCCTTTAGTGTCAAGTTCCTTACAGAGACAAAACTGATACCATGTTGCCCAAAGCCATCTGAATAAATCACATTGTTAGACTGCCTGGTGGCCAGAGTTCTCAGGCAAACTAGACATTCCTATTATGCATGACATTCTGAGGGCCTAGAGATCTCCTCCCAGAATCCAAAGGTAATGGCTAGACTTCTCTTTGGTCAACATTAAATTATTTACTATACAATCTTGAAACACTAAGCTTACTTTGCCATACAAAGAAAGGTCAAAACATTAGGCATCTTCCTAGGTATTCTAGTAACCCTCTACAAATGTTAAAGATACTTCTTTAGATCTTAGCTTTTAAGATCTTGCTTTAAATATAAAAGAGAGACACCCCCCCCAGCTATTCCACAAACATATCTGGCCCTATGTTCTGGCTTTTAAGTTCTTGCCTGCTCTCTTTTGGTAATACATTACAGGTAATATTGTGCACCTCAGCAGCAGATTATTAATATATTGACTTTTATGCAGTGCTCTTTACAAGCTGAATTCTATTCTTTATATACTGTACAATGTTGCCTAGCTATACTTTATGATGGTAGTCTGAACAAAATATCTGGTCCTCATGTGGGTTCTTAGTTCTAGTGCCTTGCTCTAACTGAAAAAGTAAAAACTCTTTCCTACTTTTCCTACCTTTCTTATAATGCATCTTTAAACTCCAAAGTTGTATAGAAATTTTACACTTAAAAAAATGGAGTGTGTGTTTTTATAACACTGTAGTCCTTTTCTTATGGAAAATACTGTAATATATGCCTTGTTTACTTCATATTTCACATTGTAAAGATAATGCTTTAAATATGATTCATTCTTGAGATTGATGAGGGAAATACAGATCCAACATCACAACTCGATTTGACTGCCACCATTTTATATGACTAAAAAAGTGCTTCATCTTAATTTCTTTTTCTTCCTCTTGTGTACAGGAATGCTTTCAGTTCATACTGCCAGCTCTACCTCATGCCATTGACCTTTTACGTGATGCCATTGTAAAAGTAAAGGAGGTGCATGATGAACTTGAAGATTTGCCTTCCCCTCCACCTCCTCTTTCCCCTCCTCCCACAACCAGCCCCCATAAACAGACAGAAGACAAAGGGGTTCAATGTGAGGAAGAGGAAGAAGAGAAAAAAGACAGTGGTGTTGCTTCAACAGAAGATAGTTCCTCATCACATATAACTGCAGCAGCTATTGCTGCCAAGGTAAGCCTGCTGAGAGAGACTCAGAGATCTAAAGGACCCACAGGTAAATGTGCTGATTTCATCTCTCTTTCCATCCCATCCCTCCATAAATTTAATCCCTCTTCATGGCATCCTAAAAAAAGAACAGAGATGTCTATGATACTCCACCATTATGTTTCATTCTTGATGTAGATTTCTTGAAGGCATTGAAGTTTTTTTGAGCTCTGAGGCATTAAGGATACACTGTTACCTACTGAAATAATAGTGGCAATGATAAGCTTTATGGCATTTAGAACTCTTTGGAAATGTCATTTTTGTGGACATATCAAATATACAATGTTTATATAATCAAAACTTCACAAATTTTTAAAGAAATAACAAACTGAAGCCATAAAGCCTTCTTAGATAATTCAAGAAATGAATTTGGAAAGATTAGTAAAGATTTTCAAAAAGACAAGGCTTTTTGGCAATTGTTGAATTTTCCTTAACAAAGCACTTTTTCAAATATTACTTGACACAAATTATTCTAGTGGTATAGAGAGGAAATGAATATATCTATATTTTTAATTTAATAAAGTAACAAATATTACTAGTACAATACCAAAAGCATTACAAATTCTCTTTGGGCAATTCTGGGAGTAAATGTAGTACTGTGAGGTACTTCAGTAAATTTAGTCATCTTAAAGTCATAGAACATAGTTTATAGTATTATCCATACCTAGTAAAATCCACCTAGTATGCTTTAATATCTTCAGAAAATAGCATATCATTTTTAGGAATGATGATTGTTCATTGATTGATATCATAAAGATTGAAATTTTAATTGCTACATGAAGTAATTTACAGTTTTATGAATCATCCAGATATTTTGGCTATTAGCATAGTGAGGTGTTTTTTTTTAATATAACATGTAGATCAGAGTCATAGAGAAATTATTTTGAAGTATTCACTCAGGCAACCAGTATGTGGTTCCTTCACTGATGACAGATGATTCTGTCTCCAGATCCATTCAGTGGTCATTAAGTACTTTCTTAAAGCTATTAAGTAGTGTGTGATTTTTTTAATGAAATTTATTGGTGAAATATGGGCATTTAAAAATTATTATATGTTGTTTAACTCTTTTAATTAAGAGTAAGAGTAAGAAGTACCATCAGTTTCAATCTTAAGAAAAAAGCCTAAGCTTTTAAAATCTAAACTGATTTTAGTCTAAAATCAGATGAAATCTAGACATTTGGAAAATTTTGACATTTCATTTTTCCATTTGTTTTCACTTTCTTTTTAATCATTTTGCTTGTATAGTTTCATGTTTTCCTGTCACTATGTTCATAGTTGCTATGTGTTGTGCATTAGAAGCATCCATTCTACACCAGTCCTGCTGTTATCATGGCACACGGTGAGCAGCCCATTCCTGGCCTCATCAATTATTCCCATCATTCAACAGGCAGTACAGATGAACGGGTAAGACAAGAGGCTTTGCATTAATGATCTTGCAAACATACATCCTACTTTTTCTCCTTGGAGATAGGCTATAACATATTGTAGAATATGTGTTGCTCTGTTCCAATGGATCTTCAGCAATGCTTTCTTATAGAAGTGTAAGTTCCACTGATTTTATTCCATCAGGGAATTTAATAGAGTTTCTCCTGTGCCTAACATACTCTGCTATCATTAAGATTCCATAGTTTGTGGCAATGAACTTTTATCCCATGACTTCAAAGAAATTTATTGCTCAGAATTTATTTTTGTTTTAGCAATTTCATCAGATATCTTTAAATAAATTGCTGGGCTTAATTAAGATAACCCCATTAGAGGATCACTTTGAGTTGTAAAATCTACACAGATTGGTCAAGCTAATGTTTGATCTCTATTAACCTTGTTTATTTTTTCCCCATAATTTTGCATCTCATTTTCTTTTTCTTCACTGTGTTCTCATTACAACCATTTGTAGAGTTGAATCTTGATACAAATTTTGTCATTCCTAATCTTCAGAAACAACTTTTAAGGATACATATTAGTTCAGCCACTGGCTGAATGATAGTTTGCAAACATTGCCAGATAGGAAAAGATTAAACTAATAAGTATAACTCATAATTCACACTTAGCAATGATAATTTGGACTATGGCTGCCAAAAAGAATCAGTCTGAATCCCTATTGTGGATAAGAAATGAGAGGGGAGCCGGGCGTGGTGGCTCACGCCTGTAATCCTAGCACTTTAGGAGGCCGAGGCGGGCAGATTGCTCAAGGTCAGGAGTTCGAAACCAGCCTGAGCAAGACCCCGTCTCTACCAAAAATAGAAATAAATTAATTGACCAGCTAAAAATATATATACAAAAAATTAGCCGGGCATGGTGGCGCATGCCTGTAGTCCCAGCTACTTGGGAGGCTGAGGCAGTAGGATCGCTGAGCCCCGGAGATTGAGGTTGCTGTGAGCCAGGCTGACGCCACGGCACTCACTCTAGCCTGGGCAACAAAGTGAGACTCTGTCTCAAAAAAAAAAAAGAAATGAGAGGGGGAGAAACAAATAATAAAGTGAAATGTGGCTTTAAATACTTAAGAAGAAGAAAAAAAAACTCTGGAATTTGGACAGAAAAAAAACCAATAATATAGCATTAGCAGTCTCTTGGGAGATATACTACCAGATGAAGTCTTTAACCTATATTCAAAGCCATACCTGGCTGGAAATAAACTTGGGTTAGTCAAAGGCCTAGTAGAAAATTTAAATCTTAGTTAAATTATTAGTGAATATAAATTGATGACTAGTATTTGAATTTTCCACATATAGCTTTGTTTTATGAATTATGAATATTCCATAATGTACCAAACTTGAAGCTTGTCTGTCTTTTGTATTCTCATCTCATAAAGCAACCACAACAGCTATAATAATCATTCTGGTTTTCAAACTAAAGTAACTGGAAGTTTCCATATTCATAACCAAGATTTTAAGTTACCATATTCTGAATTTTAGAGTATACACTGAAAATTATTTGAGCGACTCTTCAGTTCTCCCAAGGATTGTACATAACTAATACCATTTTATTAATAGATTTATAGGAGAAAAATTATTAGGGCTTAATTCTATGAAGGGGCTAGGTGAGAATGATTATATAACTCTTATAACTAGATGTTCTCATATAGCATCACTCAGGACTTTTTCATTTATTAACTACTTATTACCTAATATTGGTCTTTTTGACAGATGTTCAGTTTTGTGAGTAGACTCAGATTTTTGCAATTCCTTTGACAAATTATAATCAGAGTGATATATCAAAGAGTATAATGCTCTTATTCTTCAGACTTGGCAATCATAGAAAAGAATGAAAAGGAAGAAATAAACAACAGAAAATAATGAAAAGGAAGGCCTTTAATATTCTTGATGCTTTTAAAGAATCTATATTAACTTTGAATGCTTATCTGTCACTAACTTCATTAATGAGCCCCACTGGCTCTGAATGACCTGGTTTGTTGTCAGTGTGTCAGAAGATCTCTACGTGAGAACAGTCATTTGGAAATGTCTGTATATACTATTTGGCTGGTTTTTATAAAATTTACCAATGTAAAATTAAATTTCAAAAGGGAGGATCTGATTGCCTATTGAAAAGAAAAATCACAATTTCCCTCAGCTGGTCACATTCTGAAGCATATGGAGCAATGTGGAATAATGTAATATTTGGGACAAATTATTTAATATTTAAGCTTCAGTTTCTTATTTATAAAATGGAAATAATAATAATTGCCTTGTATCTCACAAGAGATTATTATTTGTAGCAAAGAGATGACATATATAGGGAAAATTTTATAAACTTTGGAAATTCAGAGCTGAATATTTACAGAATTCTTTCTAGGTACCAAACACTATGCTTGGTGCTCAGAATACAAATATGAATAGATTGTTCCAGCCCATGCAGTGTTCACAGTCCCAGTAGAGAGTTGCTTTTTTTGTTACTTCTTTACTTTCCTAACTCAATTATCTACTTCTTACAATCAAGAAAGTGAAACCTGATCAGTATACTAACAGTTCAATAGTTACTAATGATCTGCGTACTATTATACTTATTGCCAAACTGATTAACTTTCTGTTTCAGCAGGAAAAGAGACTTGAGAAATGCCTCTTGTAATGGACATTTGTTAGTTGCCTCTTCAGCAGACATTTCCCATTCTTTCTTCCTAACAGTATACCACATTTCCTAATCATGTAGTTTGGGTAGAAGTGACTAAACTGCCAGGGTAGGTTGCCTTCATACATATATATATATGTACATACATATACATACATATAATCAGCATTATCTTTTTCACTAGGCACAGGCATTATTCATAGTTCAAAGAGCATGTAACTCAAGCCAGTCAGAGCCAGTGGTTTTCTTTTCTTAGGTTTTATTTGAACTACTGGGGACAGAGATTCTCTGTTTCTTACTGGACATTAATGATGAAATATACAACCCTAAGTGTTCATTGCCATCCTGGAACCATGAAAGGAATATCTGCCATAATGGAACCAATAGTAAAGAGGAAATCCTGAGAAACAGAAGATATAAAAAGAGATATTGGGTCCTGGTAACATTGTTTTAACCACTCACTCAAACCCTTCTTTAACTATGTGTACTTCTTGACTTTTCAGTTACATGAGCCAATAGATTACCTTTTCTAAAAAGCTAATTAGAGATAAAGATGGGTACACTGTTGTCTGTAACCAAAAGCATCTTAAGTAACAACCTCAGTATATGTTGTCTGATGAAAGAGATGAAAAGTCTTCCTAATAATGACTAAAATATATCAAATAAGAATCCCTGAAGTTTTATATTTGGGTGAAAACCTGATTCAAGAGGACAGAAAGCTGGAAAATGTGACATAAAGGAGAAGGTCGAAAATAAATCCTGCCCCCTCTGTATTTACAAAATAGATGTCTTTTCAAGAAGACAAGATTCAAATCCGAAAATGACAACTTGTGCTTTACAGTCTCAAGGCAACTGGTAGGTTCAAAACTCGAAGTCATAATGGCAGGCAAAGAGGGAATTTAAGACAAAAAGGGAATATACCCTTGGAAATACGTAATATAAAAACGCGTCTCACTGACAGAAATTAAATCTTCTGGAGAAATCCAAAACAATAATGATGTTCCCTAAGCTGCATTAGATGAAAGAAATCTGCTTACTATGGGAAGAAGAAGAGTTAGTGATTTACTCTTGATAAACTATATGGAGAAAACAGTATGTCAGATCCACATAGGCAGTTAGGAAGCATCTGTCTTCCTAGACTAGAGCATTTATTTGGAACTTGAGAGAGAAAATGCTAAGATTGAGCAACCTGCCACTCCTATATATTTGCTTGGAAATAAAAGATACTGTTACAAATAACCAGAGTTTTGGTCATACAATTGAAGAATGTACAAGCACATATATATGGGTTTATTATTTCATTTTATCCATGAGGATTTGGGCATATTAAATATTAATAATAATATTTATTATGCATCATTCATCTCTATGGATAGATGTCCATTAACTAAGTTCCCAAAACTGATATAAAACACCAAGATATATTTAGTAATGCCTATTATTTATAGTAAGAATTCTATGAAATAGACAAATAATTATTGTATTTTGTCCCTATAGTAAGCCAATATATAGATTCTCCTAATAATGATAATAGATACCATTTTTAGAATGCTGACTACGTAATAGACACTATTCTATGTATTTTATATGTACTATAGGAAATTAATATTAGAATACAGGTATCAGCAAGATTATAGATTTTTATTTTCCTGATAGGCAAATCTGTATGGGAAATCAAATCATAATAAGGATAGATGACTACTATTGAGAACAACAAAAATTCTGAAATGTTTAAAGCAATGGAAGATAATTTTAATAATATAAATATTCCCTGTGGAAAAAAAACTTGTATGAATACTTAAGTTTTTACATTTATTAAAAAAGATCTCATGTTCACCATCTAGACAAAATTATGAAAAATGATTTTTCTTTATAAATATGAATAATAAATTCTGGTGGGGTTTTGTATTATTTAATCTAAATTTAGGTCTTCATGTTTATTGATAAATTTCATCATATTGGATTCAGCCCATCAGTATACTAGGATCTTTTTTTTAATCTATGTTAGCCATCCAGTGTATTACCTGACTTGACTGCAGATATGCCTTTCTTCAAGTCTCTCATAAAACGTTTTTAAGGATAGACCATTTCACATACTACCAGACATCCTATTATAATTACTTAACATATAGTTTCATTCCAGCCCATCAATTACTCACTTCCTCTCTCTTTTCCACTAGCTTTTATGCGAGTTATCAAATACCTTACTGAATTCAAGATGTGTTGGTTTCACAGTTTTGTTCTTTAGGAAAATTTTTATAACACCTAATTGCAGCCTCTGAGGGATCAGAGGCATTGAAAAGATATATGATGTATATTTTCTGAAATAACCCATTTAGAAATGCATATGTAATCAATCTTTATTATAAGGTCAGATCCTATATCACACACTTGGATGTCTAATAGGATTTTTAGAAAATGTAACCTACCTTAACAGTCTCTAGACAGAGAAGTTGCTAGAAAAGGGTATGCATGTTAGAGCTGGCCACCAAGCTGATCAAGGGCTCCAAAATCCTTTTCCACAGAGACTAACAAGCTGTGACTGTTCAAGCTGTACTCCTTTGTACATGGCTGCTATGGGAGACTCACTCTCATGACTGTAAATTTGTTCACTAGCTACCCAAAATTAAATCCAAGTAACAACTTCTGCTGTACAGCCCAGCAACTTTTTTTGTAAGTGTAGATGTTTTTTTCAAATCAAAATTTTAAGTGGCAAAAATAATGATTAGAAGAGGAAGTATCTGCTCATTTATGAATTTCCTTGGCATCCAATATAAATGTATGTTTACTTTTGGTATTCATACTGGTATTTCAAAACACATAGCTTTCAAATGGGGAAAAAATATTTTGGCTGTATATTTTGATTTTGATAATACAACTCTCCAATTCTTCTTTTAAAAGTATCTGCCCAACCAGTCAAATTACCTTTAGGACAGAAAAAGCAACATAGAGAATCAGCACAGTTCCTATGAAAGTTCTGTGTTCCCATTACAATTTCCCTTAATGAAGAAAATTCTATTGTTTAATAATTCACAGTTGAAATTACATTGCATATCTGAAGAGGTTTGAGATCAACTGGGACAAATTGTTTTCTCCATGCAATGAGTTGCATAATAGGAATACAGATTAGTTCTCTAAAAGAAACAAAGTTGTTTCTTTTGGAAGTGATTTGACATTTCTCCTCATTTGTGCTGACTTAACCTACAAATTCTGCTTACTGTAGGTAGATTCTCACTACTCCTTGGTAAACCTTTGGTTCATCTCTCTCTTACTGACTCCTATACACACACACATATTACTAAATTGCAATTTTCAGACCTTTGCTTTTGACTCCTCATTTCCCCTATTTGCTCTCGCTTCTTGTTTTACTAAAATAAAGGCCAAGGCTAAACGTCTGTCCTTTCTATTTAAAACTATTTCTCTGAATTAAGACTTTGTTTCATTCTATCTCAAAAACTGCTTGTAATTCTCAAAGTTAATGTATGCTTCTACTTCCTTACTATTAATAGTAAGTATCAACTCTATGCAAGACACTGTGTTCATTCTCCCTTGCTGAGTGTGTTGATCACTTCTTATTTTTTGAAACAATCTCTCACATGGTTTTAATTGCTAAATTTTTTTAATTGTCCAAGTAATACATGAGTACATACTCCTTATTTTAAAAAAGAAAATGATCCAGGGGATTGGACACATCGGGGGGAGGGGAGGAAGGGGCAATATTTGTAACCCTAACAATATTTTTACCTCCATAATATGATGAAATAAATAAATATAAAAAAAAGGAGATGTATATGCAAGACAATAAATGTGCTTTAGATTTGCAATGGAAAAAAAAAAGAAAATGAAACACAGCTAAAGATTGACATCCTTTTTGTACACCTCGCCTCCCTTTCTCATTTACCCTCACAATCCCCCAGAGGTAAACATTTTTTATCATTTTGAAGAATATTCTTCTCAGAATTCCCATTGCTATTCATCCTAGTTATGTCTATATTGTTCATAAATCACATAAAATGTCAAGCACTGAAATGGTGGCTTTATCATTGGTATTGAGGATATTGGTGCAGAAACTAAATAAAGGTGTCTATAGAAATAGTGGTATGTCTTTTGTGAGAAAGAAACGATGCATAATATTAGGAGTACCTTTTAGTCACAAAATATGCCTGTTTCTTTCTTCTTTTCACATAGTAAGTGATATTTGTTGCTGAATGTTAATTGCTTGTTCTTTTATCATGTTATAAGTCTTGTACACAAAACTTGACAGTGCTCAAGTTCCCATTCTTAGAAAACCTATCCCCACTTCTATAGACCAGAACATGATATGTAGCCTAAAATAATAAATTTCATAATCAGCATAAATATTAATATTAAAATAATTTGCATTATTTTTGTTATGTTTGTATAATTTTAGAATAGTGATACTCAATTACATCACTTTACTATGTTGATAAATGGCAAACATTCATTAAATGTTTACTACTTAGAAGTGCTAAATAATTTGTATACATTATCTTAACCCTTTTGGTAACCCAGTGAAGCAGACACTATCATTATCCTTATTTTTCAGATAAAAGAAATGCGTATTCAAAAGATATATCCATCAGGGTCCCAGAAGAAGTCATAAATAATTGAGAAGAGTGTATAAGGGCTGATAGTATTTACAAAGGTTTCGACAGAATTTAGGAAAAGCCACAAAACATAATGGAGTGCCCTGTGACTAGTAACAGTGGAAGTCATTAATACTTCTGGTCCTAATAAGGCAAAGGGAAAGAGTACTATTAGAATCCAGAGAAAGACCTGTAAGCAAGAATAGCAGTCTGGCAGGAGCTGTGATCTTGAGTTGAGGTACACAGCCAACCTATGGAGACCTGGTAGAGAGGGAGCCAGAGCAATAAATAACAGACCTTACTGAACTCTACCTCATAATCTCCTGCCAGTGTCTTTTACTGGCTCAACCCAAGTAGAAGTCAGAAAGCACAAAATAGCTTGTTGATCCTGTCCATACAGGTCAAGTTGGAGTATATAGGGTGAAAAATGTTAGAGAACAAATCTGAAAAGGAAATGGAAAATATCTAGGAATTAAATAACTTGCTCAAGATTTCTCTGCTATTAAATAGCAGAGAAAATATATGAATGACAAATACTTAACTCCTAACCATAATGCTATATACTACCTCTCATATTAAAAAGTTTTATGAAATATTATTTGTCAGGGAAAATATTTTAAATCTCAAAGTTTCTATCTTATCCCAAATTGTTGGATGTATTTATACCTAACAGGAAGTGACACCAAATATGTGAGAGCTGAACAGCAAAGAATGCCCACCCACAACCAAAACAAAAAGTCAGGCATGGGTATTGATTTTACATGTTGTTGGCATTTTCAGAATATTAAATCATAGTTTTTCCCCTTGTTCAGATTCCAGACTCCATCATTTCTCGTGGCGTTCAGGTGCTCCCACGAGACACAGCCTCCCTCAGCACTACTCCTTCAGAATCTCCTCGTGCTCAGGCTACATCTCGCCTCTCTACAGCTTCCTGCCCAACACCAAAAGTAAGTACAGTTTCTTGGTACATTACACCTGCTCTACTATGGAAATCTGAGAAAACTAACCAATATTTCCTACTGCTTGTCAAGGTTGGATTGCATGCACGATAATACTATGAAAAATGAATGGAATATAAGATAGTTACCACCCATTGTTTCACTAATTATCATATTAGACCAATAGTAGGACAATTGAGGTTTCATGCAAAATGTCTTACTTCTACATCACATGTTGATAGGTATTTTAAAACTTTGTAAGGGTATCACTTTCTATAGCTCCTGTTTCTTTGTCGTAGACTTGTTACTTTGAGCATACTCATCAGTATAGATGTAAAATTATATGTTTATGCTGAGGATAAATGTATTTTTGGCCAATAAACAGCAAGATTAACTAAATATTGTCACCAAAGGGCTTTTGTTTAACTTGTCCAGGCAGGGGTAGCTCCTTGCTCTAGTATCATTCCAAATTTTTTCAAACATATTCAACTTGGAATGTTGCTGCCTAATATTTGGAAACAAATCTAAATTTATTAGAAAGAAAGTTTTAATGCCAACCTTTCAGGGAGGGCAGGGTTTTCTTAGTCTTTATTTTTTATAACTTATCACTGAATTGTGATGGGGAGAAGGATTAGACACTTATTTGCTACTCACATTTTTGTATATATGATAAATTAACTAGCAAATGTAGTTTTTGCTGTGATTGCTTACTCCTGAAATGTCCCTTTCCTGGTTAAGTTAGCCATTTGTGCTTTCAAGTTCTCTATGTGATGGATCCAATATTGGTATCAAAAGATTAACAGTAACATTCCTTCTTATTTAGTAAGACATGGTGTTAGCTATGATGTTAGGCTACACACTAAATTTTTTCTAGGTTACTGACAGTTAATTTTTCCAACTATGGCTTTTTCTCTCATCGAATTTAAGGACCCATATAGCTGTCTTCCTCAATTCCAACTTTTCTATCAATTTTATGAATGTTATAATTTTATTTGACTAAAAGTGATCTCAAACAGTTCTTGATGAAGATAGTAAAATTTATTTTACATTACATGGTACAACCTTCTCAGCAAAATCTTCAGAGTGTTACTGTTGTATGTTATTGTTTTTAGACATATGTCTAACTAACTCTATATCAAAAATAACTGATATTAATTTTATCATTTAAAAAATTGGGATCCTAAATCTTCAGTGAAGAAAAATCATAAGAATATTCTAGACATAAAATGTATGTTAATGCCATTTTGATGCCAGTTAGCTACATTTTCAACTGAATGAAGACAAGTTTTTCTCAAAACTGGAATTGGATAGAAAAATTTCATCTATATCTTTTGAATTATTAAAACAAAATAAATTATGTATAAATTTCAACTGCATTAAAATCCAGTTATATAAGCTAGACTCATTTATAAAGTCTGCGAAATAATTAAAACTAAAACTTAGGTCCGTTATAAGTTGTTTAATTCACCAAATATTAAGACCTAAATGTTGAGAATATAGAACAATCCAAGACACAGTATTTTTTTTCTTAATAATATGCTGAGATCTTTAATAATTTTTGACAATGTTTTAGATTAAATTTAATTATACATAATAGTTCGTGACCCTTTTTAAAACTTTGTAATTATATTTTAGCTACAAAAAGGATATCAAATAAAATCTTAAAAATCACTTGGTACTTCCCAATTCACCAAAATAAAATTTTAAAAAATAAAAATGTTAACATTTATTAAATTAATTTACTTTTTGAAAAACTTTAAAAGAGAAGTGACTTTTCTTAATATTTTTTCCTTAGTTAACACTTAGATGTTCAAACTGACAATGAATTAAAATAAAGCACCATATTTTTATCTAGGAATAAAATTATATTCCTTTTAGATAGTGTTCACCAGCATTAGAATGTACACCTCAAAGATAAAAATTAATTAACTCTAAATTAGATGCTCTTCTCAGTACTTTACTATCAGTGATAGATATAGTCTCTATCTTCGTGGAATTTACAGTTTGTCAGAGGTATATTATAGGTTCCATATCCGTTATCCAAAAATGTTTGGGACCACAAGTGTTTTAGATTTCAGAATTTTTTAGATTTTGGAATATTTGCAGATACTTACACTGGTTGAACATCTCTAATCTGAAACTTTGAGCTTAAAAAGTTTTAGATTTTAGAGCATTCAAATTTTGGATTTTCAGAGTAGGGATGCTCAACCAGTAAACAGGTAAGCATTATTAATTTTAATAATCATAATTTCACAATAATTTAATAATTATAAATTGAAATGCATACTAACCAATGTGAGCTTTTGTGCTGGGTGAAGGTTTTATAAATTATATTCATCAACAATAACCAGCTGGCAAAAAAAAAAAACCCAAAAAACCAATAACCATCTGGCAGTTGTCACCAATCAAAAACTCTCAAGCTAAAATTTTTCATTAGTGTGTAAATAGTCTAATTCAGTGATTTCAATATCCAATTTCAAATATCAGTTCTTTTTTATTTAAAATAGGAAAGTGTGATCTATGGACCATCTGTCCTATAGTCACTTTCAGACACTTGTTAAAAATGCAGATTCCTGGACCCTATCTGGATTTACTGAATTAGAGCCTCTATCAGTATGGTCTAAGAATATGCATTTTAAACAAGCAACTTAGATGATTCTGAAGTACACTAAAATTTGAGGTCTACTGGAAGGATGCTTATTTAATGTAGATGTGTATGTGAGGGAACAGCGTTATAAAAAATAATAATAATAAATAAATAAATATAATAATGGGGGGCTTGGGTTATTTTTGGTTTTTGTGTTTTTTTGCCTTTCCCCACTAACCAAAGTTTCAAGGCCATAAATTTTAGCATTTAGCTCTATTCTAGGTGAATTATTTATTTTAATTTTTTAGCATAAAAATTTGGAGGACAGAAGTTAAAAGTGATTCTCAAGTTTCTAATTTGACATATTGGGTATATGATAATTTTTAAGTATATTAAGGAATAAAAAATAGGTAGCAGGTTTTGAGGGTAAAATAGAAGAGGGTAATGCATATTGATTTTGAAAGTGTTCAATCTGAGGTAGGTATGAGACAACCAAAGAGTGATATGCAGCACAAAATTGTATATATAATTTCCAATTTTTATTGTTACTGCATCTTGGTTGTGATATTTCTAATTTAGTATATATTAGTGTTGGCCAAACCCCTTAGAAATCCCCTTTCTGTGATTCAGATTAGGTATGCATAGTATCATGTGCAGCAATATATGTGTAAATGTATTTTTTTACATCAGAAATACAATCTTGAATGATCAGTATTAGAAAGAGCGTTTGACTTACTAATAGAAGACCTACATTCAAATGCTTGCTTCTCTACTTAATAACCACACTAAATTAAGCAAGTTGTTTATCTTTATTGAATTTCGATCCATTATGAGACTGGTAATCTCTGTCTCCACAACAGTGTTTATTAATTCATTAAGTAAATCTTTGCCTAGTAGTGGGAAAGCAACGGTGAGCAAGTAGATACTGTTCCTGGCTTAACAAACAGGTAAAGCAAGCAACTACATATTAAAATAAAATATAATAAGTGCTATGCTTTGTCAACAATGGTAGAAAATATTATGGGAATAACCATCAGAAACACTTAACCAAGTCTTTGTGAAAACACAAAAGGGTTAAATAACCAAGTTATAATTCAAAACTAATACTTTCAACCTTTCCCTCTATAGCTTTTCATCACTGGGCAGTATTTAAGCTGGATGACTTCTTGTTCATCTGCATGTGTATATCTATTTATCTAGATCAGCAGCTATTAATGTAATATTAAATATTACTTTGATTCACATTTTATATATATACTGCAATATAATAGCCCACAGTATGCTTTCATCTTTTGAGATTCTCCAGCTATAGTGAGAATAAGATCTATAAAATATACTATGTTTTGATTTTTTGGGGAGGTACACTCATCACAATCTAATGAAGAAAACTGTGTATTATCTTTTCAAAACAATTCTTCATAGATTGCATTTTTCTCCAGCAAATATGACATAATGCTGAAATGACATAATGTTTTATTGTATATGGGAAATAGTCATTTTTATTTTATATCAGATATTTTCTTTTAATGAAATCTGACTGTAATGATGAATGATTTTCACTCCTCTTGCAAAATATCTTTCAAGAACAAAGTTGGAATTTTAGTCTTTCATTGCCCTAAGTAAAAAATGTATCTAAGTCAAATAGTATGTAGATTCTGTTTAAGGAAGTATAGGCCATATATAGAGGACTCAAGTTCTATAGTAGTGATAGTCTTCCAAAAAAGATTTGCTGAAAGATTAATTTTGTAATAGATAAATTCTGTTTTAAAGTGAACATGATTCACAACTTAGATGAGTGCCAATTTTCGGTTATGGAGTGCAGCAGCATCTCTATTCAGAAATCAAATCAAGAAGCCTAAGGTATAAAATAATGACCAGAGCAAAAAAGAAAAATCCAAACTTTCAATCAATTTACCATTCCCTTTAGATGTTATTAAAATAGATTATATTTTTTTTAAAGACCAGTTTTATTATTCATTCATTCCCTAAGCATCTGAAGTTTGATTTTGAAGAACTAAATGTAGTCTAACTTCAGATATTCTCTTGTACTTTAAAAGTTAAAAAAGAATTTTGTGCTTAGACTAACCAGCGTGTTGAATTTTTTCCTCTTAGGAAGAAAGTATGAACACTATGAATATCTAATTGAACTAAAGTTTATGCAATGATTAAAAAGTATATGTATAGAAATATCTTTATGTGAAAAGCATGTTCTTTTAATACACTAATGTGTAATACTATATTCAAACAAAATACAGAATTATGGCTTCTGTGTAGGTTTCTGTTATTGTCCTTTGAGCAAAAGAATTTAGATTACTCTGGATAAACTATTTTCTTAACTCAAAGTTTTTCATGTGTGAGTCTGGAAAGCAATATGATTTCCTTTACCTATAAAAATGATATTATTGATCCAATATCAGCATAA